TACTCGAAAATCATGAAGTGTCCTGAAGTGATGAACGTCTTTAAGACCATGAAAACAACTCTTATAACCATTTTCGGGCAGCTTGAACAGATGGTCATAAAGATTGCTTTCATGAACTTCGGGACGTTCACCACTTCGAGATGCTTCATGATTTTTATGTAGCTCCAAAAGATGGTCATAAGGGTTGCTTTCACGATCTTCGGAACGTTCATCATTTCGGGATTGTCATGATTTTTTGGGAGCTAGAACCGATAGTCATAGGGGTTGTTTCAATGGTCTTCGGGACGTTTATCACTTTGGGTTGCTTCATGATTTTCGGGTAGGTGGAACAGATGGTCATAAGGGTTGCTTTCATGGTCTTCGGGACGTTCATCACTTCGGGATGCTTCATGATTTTCGGGTAGCTTGAACAAATGGTCATAAGGATTGCTGCATGGTCTTCCGGACGTTCGTCACTTCGGGATGCTTTATGATTTTCGGGTAGCTTCAGGATACCATAAGGGTTGCTACCTGAAAATCATGAAGCATCTCGAAGTGATGAACGTTTCGAAAACCATGAAAGCAACCTTATGGCCATCTGTTCAAAATACCCAAAAATAATGAAGCGTCCAGAAGTGATGAACATCTCGAAGACCATGAAAGCAACTCTTATGACTATTTTCGGGTAGCTTGAACAGATGGTGATAAAGGTTGTTTTTATGGACTTCGGGACGTTCGCCACTTCGGGATGCTTCATGATTTTCATGTAGCTCCAACAGATGGCCATAAGGGTTGCTTCATGATCTTCGGAATGTTCATCACTTCGGCATGCTTCATGATTTTTTGAGAGTTAGAACCAATAGTCATAAGCGTTGCTTCAATGGTGTTCGGGACGTTCATCACTTTGGGTTGCTTCATGATTTTCGGGTAGGTGGAACAGATGGTCATAAGGGTTGCTTTCATGGTCTTCGGGACGTTCATCACTTCGGGATGTTTCATGATTTTCGGGTAGCTTGAACAGATAGTCATAAAGATTGCAGGCATGGTCTTCGGGACGTTCGTCACTTCGGGATGCTTCATGATTTTTGGGTAGTTTCAGGATACCATAAGAGTTGTTACCTGGAAATCATGAAGCATCTCGAAGTGGTGAACGTCCCGAAGACCATGAAAGCAACCCTTATGGTCATCTGTTCAAAATACTCAAAAATCATGAAGCGTCCCGAAGTGACGAACGTCTCGAAGACCATGAAAGCAACGATTATGACCATTTGTTCAAATAACCGAAAACCATGAAGCATCCAAAAGTGATGAACGTCCCGAGGACCATGAAAGCCACTCTTGTGGCGACTGTTCAAGCTTCTTGGGGATGCTTCACGATTTTCGGGTAGCTTAATACACATGTGTTTCAAGATCGTGTTTGATATGAAAAGTTGAAAACTCAGTTTGTTATGTGGTTTCACCATGAACAAACTAACCCTCCTCTTGATTTCATGATAGGGAAACTATTTTTAGGATGCACAAACCAGCATCATTTTTCCCACTTCATAGTTTTCATATGCGAGTTTTCAGGCGTGCAATAACCGCTTGTACTTGAGGGATGTCATCGTCGTCCCCGCAAACTTCGTTGTCGAGGCCGAGCTCGGATTTGGTGATCCGGCGGAATGCTATGTGTGTCGTGTTGCCTGACCAATCGCCAGCGTCTCTCGTGACAAGCCTCCGAGTCGGACGAAGCGGGCCTCAGGCACATGCTGTGTGCTTGTTGTTCGGCCTCAGTCCTGGTTCGTCGAACGAACCCCGAGGCTCGGTACTCACTATCCTGCAAGCACTCGGGGCACGGGGTTCGAGGCCAGTAGGGGGCGAGCACGTGCCACGGGGCCGCCGTCAGGCAGTGAAAAGGCAACACGAGGCGGTAGGGAGCGAAGTCTGTCCCAATGATGACAACACCGAGTTCGACGATGACATGACTTACGTGTGAGCTGGGGAACGCGGAGGGAAAAGGGATCGCGCTTAAGGCTCGTTCAATGTTTCACTCACAGACACGTTCGTTTCCCGTCCGAAAGGGGAATTTTGGAGGGTTGGGGCGGGGTAGTGCGAGAAGACATACATACTCCCAGTATTCTCGCAACCGTCAGTGTCTCGGGCTTTCCCGATCAATGATGTGGAAGGGAGTCCCGTCATCCATGCTATCAGAATTTTGCAGGTTTAGAAATGGACTCGAGCGCGGGTTTTGTAGACGCGCATGCAGGCGATGTCAGTTTTGATCGAGCGTGCACATATCCGCAGGAGACCTCGTTAAACTTTGCGATCAGTTGGATCGGATCGAGTAGCTATCCCTTTGGTCGGGAGATCGTCTGATCCGTCGTCGTGCTAGCCCGTGCGCGTGTCAAGAAAAAGACATAAGAAAGGCAATCAGCGGACAATCACATATTTGAATTAGCCATCCACCTATCCACCAGAGCATACATCAACCGGGACCGCCGAGTTATCATTAAATTCCCGTTTCTGTTCAAAAGGTGACGAAAAACTGACATGCATACTCAGGCATCGATCGAACTCATGCATCAATCAAACTCAGCGGCCGTGCAAATTTTCGGAAAAGCACAAACGAGAGATCGACAAAGGTTTGCGCATCAAACCATGTCACCGAGGAGGCCTACGTCATCATAACCCAAGTTCACCGGGGTCGCGCGCAGACAATCGTCGTGCCAATCTCACCATATTGCAATGAAACAGGAGTGAGGTGAGTGGGGGGGAGGGGGCACAAACCGATCTCTAAGAAAAACACGAACCAGGGGTAATCATGAGTAAAAGAGGACCGACGCCACTTATGGAGACTACGTAAACGAGAAAAAGAAGGACACCATCCCACACACAAGATCCAAAGGTTGTCAATTCCGTAATATGCATGGGGAACGCATCCAACCCGAGCGCAGAATAGGGACTAGAAAGTGACAAAATTTGAGCTAAACTGGTCATCCACGAATTGCGCGAGGAGGGGTGAGGGAAGCGCGCGAGTTCATTCCACACACACCATAAGCAAAATATCCGAAATAATTCGCTAGAAGATCCGAAACGACTGTAACAAGATCGACCAAGGTTGAAATTAAAATTTATACAGAGGGTTAGAGAAAGGCATCATCCCACACACATCTCTCTCTCTCTCTCTCTCTGTCTCTCTGTCTCTCTCTCTCTCTCTCTCTCTCTCTCTCTCTCTCTCTCTCTCTC